GTGGATGGGTGGATGGGTGGGTGGATGGGTGGATGGGTGGGTGGATGGGTGGGTGGATGGATGGATGGATGGGTGGGTGGTGGGATGGATGGATGGATAGACGAATGGGAGGATGGATGGATGGATGATGATTTGGTTTGGATCTGCAATGATCCCCCAAAGCCTCCCACCCTCAGAGGCGGGGCTTCTGGAAGGTGACTGGATCATGGGGCTGTTGTGCTCATCAGTGGATGAATCCACCACGAGTTCAGAGCTCAAGGTGCTGTCAGGAGACGGGGCCTGGTTGGAGAGAGTCACAGTGAGTGACCTGGACGGGTCTGTCTCCCTTTCTGGCTCTTCCCTTCTCTCCCTGCCACGATGAGAGCTGCTTTTTTCCTCCCAGGCCTCCACCATGCTGTCCCTGCCTTGAGTCACCAGTGATGCCTGGACTGAGACTTCTGAAAGTAAACCCCTCCTTCTTCAATTGCAGGCATCTGGTATTATGTCTGAGTGACGAGAAAGTGACTAAGATATAAATAATCATGTGAATGCGTAAATCTATTACCCATTCAAAAATTGAATTCATACACACATCAAAAAAATCCTGCCACAAGGTCCGCAGCTTGTGATGGCAGAGTTAGATGCACTGCGCAGTCAGCTCTTTGCTCCCAGCCTTACAAACTGTAGCATCCCCCACTGGGCACCCTGAGGAGGGCAGCTGTCTGACCTGCTCTTCCACCACCTAAGTCTTGGAAACCCAGGAGCCCTTATCCTCCAGAGCCCCTGCCCGTCCCTGTCCTTTCATCTCCAAGGCCACTGCTCACCTGCTGCTCCAGGAGCGCCTGCAATACCAGGAAAGTCTCCTCCTTCCAGGACAGCTCCAAGATCTGCCTGCACAGCAGTAGCCCCATCAACACAGCCTGGCCTCCCACCAAGCTCCTACTGCTCACGGCCGGGGGGCGGGGGCAGCCTCCTGTCACCATTCCCCAGTGCCTTGCACGGAGCCAGCCCCAAAGCCCGCAGGGGCACACAGGTACAGGGCACAAGGCAGTGACGGGGACGCTGAGGCACAGTGTGAGGACCCAGCTGGCTCCCACAGCAGGAGGAGCCCAGCTTTGGGGGGATGGGTGTGAAGGGCACGGGGCTTGCACACTCACCCCAACATGAGGGCCTGAGCATCTGGCTCCAGGGACTCATCCTTCATCAGGTGACACAGCAACTCTGTTTGTGCCGGGCCTGGGCGGGGAAACAACAGGCATCTTTATTCATTGATTGCCCAACTCTGCCAGGGCCAGGTGCCTGGGGGCTGGGGCCAGCGTTACCTGTGCCTGGGGCCTGCAGCACGGTGCTGAGGAGGGCTCTGCAGACTGGGTAGGGGTAGCTGGCACAGAAGGAGGTCAGTGCGGTTCTGAGCAGCCGGGAGGCTGAGGAGGTCAGGGAGAGGATCTGCAGCGAAGGAACAGAAATGCTTAACTCATTTGCCTCTCTTCAGTGATATCTTTTTGGTTCTACTTGGGGATAGTGCGCTCCCGTTTGTATTTTTATATTTATTTACTTTATTATTATTATTATTGTGTGTGTGTGTGTGTGTGTGTGTGTGTGCGCGTGCGCACGCACACGTGGTTGCAGGGATTGCACCCCAGGCCTTTGCAGTGAGCTACATCCCCAGCCCTTTTTAAAATTTTGAAACAGGGTCTCACTAAATTGCTAAATGGCCCAGGGTGGCTTCAAACTTGCAATCTCCTGCCTCAGCCTCCCTGAGAGCACGGATTACAGGCAGACACCACTGCACCTAGCTTTCAATAAACACTTATCGGACACATCTCTTGGATGATGATATATGTTATGACAGAGAAAACAACCAAGTTCTTTCGCTGAGGACTCACATGGACCCACTCCAAGGAAAGAACATATAGATCCCATCCCCAGCTCTCAAATCCTCAGAAGTCTGTAAGATTCTGGAAGGTTCTGGGGCCAAAAAAAGAGCGAAGTGGATAGCCAGCCTGGGGTGCCCTCCCTTGCCCCAGGTTTCCCGGATGGGCCAGATGCCTACAGGGCTCAGACACTGTCTCCCCAGCAGCCCCTGCAGAGGGCCCAGACTTGCCCCCTGTCCCCAGCACTCCCAGGGCCTCCCAGAGCACCTACCCGTCCCAGAAAGAGGCTCCTGGCCAACACAGTGGCATTGCTGATGCTGAGACCCGGGGACAGGGCCAGCAGCCAGGTGCACAGACGCAGGAGGCTGGTGTCCGAGAGTTGGGAGAGCTGCAGCTGGGCACACAGCTGCTCCACCTGCCACAGGATGGGGACACACAAACATTCAGTGTGGCTCTGCTAGGTTAGCACCAGCCAAGTGGCCAGAAGGGGCAGAGTAAGGCTGCTGGGCGGGGGGGCGTAAGATGACACGAACCGGCCCCCGTATACCTGGGGAGGAAACCAGGTTCAGAACCACTCAGGGTGACCCCCATCAGAGACAGAAAAGATCAAATTCTCTCCCAAATACCCACAGAAGTAGCGAGACAGAAATGGGAAAAGGCAGGGAAGGGGATGGCATACACCGAGCCAAGCAGGCCTTCTGGTCTCACCTGGCTGGGACTGCATTCATGGAGAAGCTGCAGCTCAACCGGGGGGATATCCCCCCGTCCTTCCAATCCCTGGGGAGGCAAAGCCACATCAGGCCTGGCAGAGACCCTGTGACAAGTCCCAGAGGCCATCCCTTCCACTGGCAAAGCAAGAGGCTGAGATTCTAGAAGGTGCTGCCCAGGGAGAGGGAACACACCCAGGGCTGGCTGTGCTCCAGCAGCCCTGCCTCCCTCTCCAGCCTGTGCGTGCACTGGGGCCACCCTGGGCAGAAGGTGGAGGGAGGGCTATTGAGTGCAGGGCCGGGGCACTCACCTCCCCAAAGGTCTTCAGCAGCTGCTGCAGCCTGGGCACCTGGGCCTATGGGGCAGAAACCAGTCACTGCCAAGTCCCTGCCCCACGAGCAGCCCTGAGCCCCGTGCCAGCTGCCCTGGCAGTGGAGCGAACAGGCACAGATGAGAGCGCCAAGAACATGGAGCCCCATCTTGCAAAGGGCCTAAGCGTCCCACTAGATGGGGTTTGTGTGCTGGCCACAACGAGGCAGGCTCAGGCCCTGGGCAGGAAGCACAGGCGGCGTGCTGGCAGGACTGGCCTCCCCGATGGGCCGAATCCTTTAGCAGCCCCACAGTAGAGACCAGGGGAACAAAGGCTCCCACCTCCCACAGCTCCCCACCCGCAGTCCACAGACAGCAGTCATCTCTCCGGGAAAGTGCCCAGCCAGCCTTCCCCTCAGACGAACACTCCGCTCACTCTGCTCCTAAACATGGCTGCAAGTCCCGCCTCCCGTCCTCCCCTGGACCTGCAGGGCTCCAGGCAACTCCGCACTGGCCGCTCGGCCTTCCGCTGGCCCGGGATTCTGGCCGGCGCCACAGGGCCCGGCTCCCATGACAATGGGCTGGGCCCTCTTGGGGGATGCTCTTCCTCCATCTGCCGGGGATTCCAAGGACAGGGCTTCTTCTGGTCTCTCCTCCTTGTCATCATCTTCCTCTTCTTCCCGTTCCCCACTTCGGAACCTTTTGGGGAGTCTCTCTCCCTCAGGAGTGGCAGTCATTTCCCCTGGCTCCTTCCTTCGTTTCCCACGCTGCTGGGAGTCCCTGTCCTCCTCTTCCTCTTCATGGTCTGGAGCCTCAGGCAGCTTCAACCTCCTGCCTCCCTGGCCCAGCCGCCTACAGAGGCTCCGGAGCTGCGCCTGGCACCCTTCCGACAGCACAGGGGCTCCCTCCACGGAGACGCCGGGCCCAAGGTCTCTCTGCAGCATTCTCCCCAGGACCTGGAGCCAGGCATCAGGAGTAGAGACCGGGTCCTGTTGGGCGATCTGCAGCACGGACAGGAGCTGGCTTTCAGGCAGTGACAGCCGGACAGCCATCAGCAGGGACAGCAGGTTCCTCCGGCAGAACTGGGGCAGGCGCAGCAGCAGCGGCCTCCTGGGTAGCAGAGGGACAGCAAGCAGTCAGAGCACCCCACTAAAGGGAGTTTGTACCCCAGCAGAGGCCAAGTGGACAGAGAAGGGGCAGCCCAAGGGCCACTGACAAGCATGCACTGAGCATCTATCATCACCTGGCCTGCTATTTGAACTCCTGGACTTTATTTCAGCTAAAAAAACTGAATGTTGGAACCTATTCTCTAATAGGCCTGTGCTTCTTTTATGTAATGAAAAAGCCCATTCCCGTATTTCAGGTAAAAATAATGCTCCAGGATACTGTACATAATTTTAACACGGGTGTCTGCTTTATACGTATTACTTATACAGCAGGAGTACATTCGATTTTTTTTTTTTTTTTTTGAGACAGGGTCTCACTATGTAGTTCAAAATGCCTTAAATTCTCTAGGCCCAGGCTGGCCTCGAACTCGCCGTGATCCTCCTGCCTCAGCCTGCTGATTACAGGTGTGCACCACCTCCCCCGGCTGCACACTAGGTTTTTGGAGGTAGAAGTATTCGGTCAAAGTCGATTTGACTCCCCTTACAATTCCGCCCACGGGAGGCCACTACATCCCTCGCCCTGGGGCCGACTTCCCCTCTCTGGGTTCGGCCCGACTCCCTAAAAGGCAGGGACTTACAGCTCCAGGGGTCCGCCAGGGTCCCGCAGCACAGGCTCCTCACGGCACAGCGCCGCCAGGAGGTCGCCCCAGCTGAGGGGATCCCGCTCGTGGCAGCCCAGCGCCCGCAGCACCCCAAGGCCGCGCCGCGCTCCATCGGGCCCGGCCTGCAGCGCCTCTAGCAGCAGGCGAGCAGGGGCCTCAAGGGCCGCCCAGGGCTCAGGCCCCGCACCCTCAGCCCCAGGGGGCGCCGCCTCTGGGGTCGCCATACAACGGTCACCTTCTAAGGACCGCGAGAGCCCTGTTCAGGGCTGAAGAAAACGGCGGGAGGAGCCGCCGGAAGGGGCGAGCCCAGGAATCACCCAATCGGGGGCGGGAGGTGGGACCACGCTGCGACGTGCCCGGGGGACCTGGGCGGGGCCAGACGAAAGATTGGTTTGTGGGCGGGGCTCGACGGAGCCCCTGCACCCCTCCTCCCCCACGCTCCCTGAAGCTGTGGGGCCGGGAGGATGTCAAGGTCCGGCGTGCTTAGGGATCCAGGCTGTATTTAATTTTAGTTGTCGCCCAATTCGCTTGTAGATCATGGGCCTTGCTGTAAGTGTTGACCCAGTTCACCACCCCTCTTCACCCTTGCACGCGGTGTGGACCGAGGCAAGCCTGGGGCCTCGGGCACAGGGGACCAAGCACAGACCATTACCCTCCTGTCGCCGACACAGTGGGGAGAGATAAGTGAGCAGCAGAAAGTTTGACTGTGAGAAGCGCGTTGCACAACACCGCAGGTTGGTGAGGTACAGTACTTTTAAACAGGGTAGTCAGGCAAGAAACCAAAGGGAGGAGGTCAGCGAGCCTAGCAGGAGCGTGGAGACGGTGTCAGTGTCAGGCGGAGGGAGATGCTGAAGCAGAGGGCCTGCGGCAGAATCGAGGCTGGAGCCCCAGCACTTGGTACCACTGTAGAGTTCGGTCACTGGGCCTGAGGTCTCAGAGGACCTCGGCCTTCACTCAGAATAGTACAGAAGCCATGGGAATATTTTGAGCTTGATCTGACATCCACTTAAGCCAGATTGTGTTTTATTTTTCCTAGAGTCATTTGAAGGGAACTTAGGTGTGTTTCTTAAATAGTGTCTTAGTTTCTTCCAAGCACTTTGTATTCCAAGTGAGCATTTCTGATTTTGGAGGGAAGGTGGACTAGATGTCCATGGCAGCACAAATCTATAATCCAGCACTCTGGGAGGCTGAGGCAGGAGGATCATCAATTCAAGCTCAGCCTGGGCAACTTAGTGACTTAGTGAGATTTGTCTCAAAGTAAAAAATTTTAAAAGGGCTAAAATGTAGCTCAGGGTGAAGGCTCTGAGGTCAATCCCCAATGACACACACACACACACACACCCACACACACACAAAGATGATTTCCCTTCCCACTGTCACCTCTTACAAGTGTCCAGTGAAGTTTTCCAGACACTGCATGGTGACAGTGCAAGAGGCAGAAAGCAGGGGAACTTTGCTGCCCTGGGGTGGGGGAGGCTAGGAGCCGACCACTCTGCAGCCATCACAGCATGCGTTAGGTGCATTTTATTGGTTTTCTTCCAAAATCCTTCTACAAAAGAGCAAAGCTAAAAACCAAGGCCCTCACAAGCAGTGAGACTCTTCCTTGTCTTAGGACCCTCCCACCCTCAGGTCCCCCCAGCTATGGGTGGAGGAGAGGACCTGCTACTTTTCCCGACACCAAAGCCCAAGGGGAAGCCCTGCCACCCAGCATCCTGTCCCCTGCCCGCACAGAAGGCTGTGTTAGGAGTTGCCATGATCCAGCAGGAACTCGGAGTCCCAGGGGGCCGGGGCCAGGACATGGCCGGAGAAGGACACGTGCTCCCCTGGCCTGGTGGCCCCCGGGAACAACAGTGAGCCCAGCACCTGCGGGGAGAGAAGAACAATCCTCACCCACAGAGGCCCGGGAACAGGGAACAGGGTTCACCCCAGGACCATCTACCCATCCACTGCACAGATGTCAAGTGGAGGCTTGCAGTCACCGTGGACATGCATTATGAACCCCCGCGTCTGCAGCTCCCACCTCACTGCCGGGAGCCCAGGGAGGACTAGAGGCCAGGGCCTGAGCCGGGAGCTGGTGCAGGTAGATGCAGTTGGATCTGAAGGGACAGCGGCCATTCCCCCGCATGAAGAACCGGCATTGGATCTGGCTAGGAAGGGGCAGAGGGAGAGAAAGGCTATCGTCGCCTGAGCTCTTCTTCCTGGAGCAAGAGGTGCTCGAGGCTGACCCCTGAGGTCAGTCAGCAGGCTGTACACAGCAGGAAAGCACCCATCCAAGCCCACACCACTGGATCATCACTAGATTTGGCATTGATTTCACCAGATTCCAGCAGATGGCAGCAAAGTGACTGCCTCTCTAATTCTGTCTCCCAGGCCAGCAGGGGCCTCAGGAACCTCTTTTCTTTCAAAACAGTTTTAGTAATAATACCAAAAGTGGCGCAGTCATACATCTGCCTCAAATGTGTCTCAGGAGCCAAGTCAGCTGGGCAGGCATGGTGCTGCGTGCCTGGAATCCCAGCACTTGGGAGGCTGAGGCAGGAAGATTGCCATGAGTTCAAGGTCAGAGTTCACATTGTTGGCTAACATGATTATCAGGCTTCCCGCTGAGATTTAAATTTTACTCTGAAAGGCCAGGTTCAGGGGAAAATTGTAAACAATGTGTGGTCTGCTTCAGTAAGACGAGCTTTCTTTTATTAGTTATATTATTTGTTTTTATTTATTTATTTATTTATTTTGAGACAAGGACTCACTATGTAGCTCAGACTGGCTCCAACTCACAATCCTCCTGCTTCAGCCTCCTGAATGCTGGAATTTCAGGTTTGTGCCACCTTGCCTGCCTGCGAGCAGTTTTTTTCTTGGCACAGAAAGAGCTGAGAGAGTAGGGCAAAACACAGGCTGGCAGTCTTTTTCCAGCTTTGTCCCTCTCTGGTAACCTCCAGAACACAACTGAATCTTTCCTGCTTCCTGAGACCCAGTGCAGACCCAGGGCCCCACTGAGCACTCGGATGGATGGGAGCCCAGAAGTCCCTGCAAACAACTGTCCCTTTCTATCCCTACCACCTTCCAAAATCCAAGCCAGGACCGCACCCTCGGTGAGGCTCCACACAAATTCCTCCTAGTGTCGAGCCCTCATGTCGCAGCATCAGCCCCAATGCAGAAACATAATCTCCATTTTTACTTCATCACCGGGCAGGGGGCCTCCCTGTCAACCTGCTTCCTGCTGGAAACAGCTGTGAGCCCTAAGCAAAGCTCCTGGGGCCTCTCCCTCCCACCCAGCTCCACCTGCTGCCGGTTCTCCTTTCCTCAATGGCTGCCTTTGCAGGGTTCCAGGCCTGCCTTGGGGGGCACGGGCGAGCTTCTCCCAGCAAAAGGGAAGACCTGCTTCCTTACCCCACCTGTATCCTGACACACTGCTGTCTTAACTCCCAGAAGAGTTAAGTGCATGCCTGTCATCCCAGCACTCCAGGAGGCTGAGGCAGGAAGATGGCAACTTAGATTGCAGCCTGAGCAATTTAGCACTTTGTAAGACTCTATCTCAAAATAAAGGATAAGAAGGGTTGGGGATGTAGCTCAGCGGGAAGGCCCTGGGCTCAATCCCCAGGAGCTGAGCCAGGTTAGGAGAGACCCAGCTTGTCCCATCCCTCTCCACGCGGGTAGGGGACCCCGGGCCAGCAGCACCCTCACCGGGTCCGGGCGGTGAAGGTCCGGATGAGCTGCTCCTTCTCAGGCCCGTCGCTCACCCAGAACTTGTGGGGGATGATGTAGCTGGAGTAGACACGACACTGGGGACAGGCCCTGCGGGGTGGGGGACGGTCAGGATGGCGCGGGCCAGCGGTGGGGACCCACAGCCGGACACTCACTTGATGACGTCCAGCGGCAGGCGCGGCG